AAGCGCCACGCGATCGGCGGTCACGCCACACGTCCTGTTCAAGACCTGCCTTTGCCCACTCAGTCTGTTTGGTCTGATTGGAGGCGGCCTTTCCTAGACTCCTAGGTTGGCCCTTACCTCGGCCACCTGCCTTAGTCTTTACTATCGCGGCGAGGGTGCTACCCTCAGCTACCTCCTCGCCGTCACACTCTGAATAGTCCACCAGGTCAGAGAGCTCGTCGATTTCAGTTTGGGTCCCATCTGACTCAACCATCATCAACTTCCACCCCCTTCTTCTTCCACTCCTGGGGACTCTTCTTCTTCTTTGAGTCGTTCCCTGAGGTGGGTTGAGCATTGTCTAGTGTTGCCTCTAAGTCTAAGGCCTTCCTAGACAGTGTCTCAAACGAGTGGTACTCGGTGCGTGCCTCACTGGCCAGTAAGTTCCTGATGTTCTCTGGAAGACATCTAACAAAAGTTGTTAACAGGAACTGGTCACTGTAGTTGATGCCCGGGACGAGGATCAGGCCCTCCACGGTAGTCGTAAGCTCCCTAACTAACCTGAACTTGCGTTGGTCAAGTTTGTTAATGGCATCAGTGGCCCTTTGAGCCTCCTGTGGGTTATGCCATCGAGCTTCTACCATCTCCATGAATTGGTCTAAGGTCAAAGACTTAGCCCAATCCACCATGCGTCGCCCGTACCCGGCCTTCACAACTACACCATCTAGCCACTTGGCTGCTTTACCCTCTAGGTAAGATGCCGCAGTTACCACCTCATCCTATGGCAAGGTCCTTTTGGCCTTCACCCAAACCGGGACTGTCCTCAACCATGTGTTGAGTTCCTCGTCCTTTCTCTCACATGAGAAGGCAAGAGGCGGTTTCATTGGGGTCTTGGGGTACCATTGACCTTGCTGCTGTCCAGATTGCTGAACAGGTTGTTGTGGTGATGTAGCTATCACCACTGGACCGGAAAAAGAAGATGCAACAGTCTGTGCTGCTGCTGCAGACGTACCACTTGGTTGTGTGCCAGCTCGTACGGCAAAGGGACCTGACATCGTTGTTAACGGTAACGGCGATTGTGCTGGTGGCCGGAATCCTGGCCTTATCAAAGCGTCCAAGATCTGGTCTAAAGTGTTCTGCATGAAGTCCAACCTGTTGTCCACATGCGCATGCAGTGACAGCATGTTGTTCCTCAACACTTTCATGGGCTCTTTCATTCCTGAATCGTCCAAGCCCTCCAACTCAGCCTTGTCAGTCTCTAGAGTATCAAGCCTGGCTGTTCTATTTTTGATCTCCTTTTCTCTGTCGGTAGCCTGTTTCAGTTCCCTCTCTAATCTTTCACGGATCCTTTCAACATGTTGAAGCTCCCTGAGCTCCCTCTCGCGAGGAGTCAACGGGTTGAACTGCACGCCCGTCATTTGACTTGTAGACGGCCTAGACCCTAGTAAAGTGGAGATACCCAGGGACCCCGTTGGCATTCCCAACTAGGTTCATGACAAGGACGCAACCGTAGTTGCAGCAGAGGTTGCTGCTGCGGTAGCCATTGCTGTTGTCGTGGCTGCTGCGGCAGCCTGCTCCCTAGCTGCAAGGTTTGCTGCTTCTCTCGATGCTGCGAGAGCACGGGCTCTACGTTCGGCACGAACCCGTCTTTCTTCTCCCTCGTCTAGAGTCCTGAACACGTACGGGATCCTTCTTGATCTTGCACGTGTAAGTCTACTATCGTCAACTCCCTCCTCGTCGACGTCTGACCCGTTCATAAATTAGGCAAACATTGTCTGCACTAGAACTCCCCAATGGAATCCTACCGCAGCATGTGTCTAACCGGCACCTAATTTTCTAATAATGGTTGTGTCCAGCAGTTCCCCTACTGTACCGATCAAGTGGCATGTCTACAACATTCACACAGTTTGTCTACATAGTCTAAATGCACTTTGACTTGTTCACTTACAACAGCATTAGTTAGAATTGGCTATGGTAGCATACAACAGTCCTACACTAAATCTGTCTGTGAGGTGTTAGCAGTCTGTCCACCAACTAATCAACGGTACAAAAAGACAATGTAGCAGATGTATGATTGATGGGTATGGTTGTGTATACAGTTGAGCACCAATTAGAACCTACCCTCCCCTCCATCCAACATACCGAACAGCATCATTGAGCGAGCATTGTCTTCGTGTGTGGATCGGCCCACCCCTGTGCCCAAGTTGTCACCGAGCAAGCCAGCCCAACCACTCTTATTTACCCTCGTACGGCGACGAGCCTTCCTGTCCATGTGATCTGGCTGATCAGGAGGGATTTATAGAGCGCTCCCATCTCTTCAGGAATTATTTAACGTCGCAGTCAGGACGACGATCACAGCCAGAATCACAATGAACTCCCAACCAGAAATGTTTATAGACGGTCTGGTAAGCGTCTGTCATGGGCTGGCACACCCGGAGGAACTTCTATCAGCGCAGCAAGTGCCAAACAGGACAGCAGCCATCGCATGCGTGCACTACTCCCTGTGGGTTGGCATGGTGTCCGTGACCCAAGTGCTTCGACCAGGGCCCTTCAGAGGCACCGCCCTTTCTCCTTCCAGTATGCTTCCGGGAAGATTGTCGTCTCTCAAGGTAGCGCGCTCACGACACCTCACCAAAAGAGAGGACTCTCAAGTTGGACTCACTTCCTCACGGTAAGAAGAGATTGAGAGAGTAGATAAGGTAAGGGAACAACGTACCTGGAGA